GGGTAGTATTCTGTGATATAAGTAAAGCGTTTGATCGAGTCTGGCATAAGGGACTGCTATTTAAACTTCAACAAGCGGGCATATCGGGTTCTTTACTAAGGTGGTTTGAAAATTATCTTACAAATAGAGTCCAGCGGGTGGTTATTAACGGTTCAAGTTCCGAATGGTTACCTGTAAATGCAGGCGTCCCACAAGGGTCCATTCTGGGCCCTCTCCTTTTTTTGATATTTATAAACGATATAATAGAAGACATTCAAGCTCAAATTAAGCTATTCGCAGATGACACTTCATTGTATATTATGGTTGACAATCCAACAGAAACAGCTACAATTTTAAATAACGATCTAGATAAGATTTATAATTGGTCAAAAAAATGGCTTGTGAATTTTAATGCCCAAAAAACTGAAAGTATGATAATTTCAAAAAAAATAAATAGACCCTTTCATCCTCCATTAAATATGAATACCCAAGAGCTACAAACAGTAAGTAAACACAAACATCTAGGTGTCTTTTTTTCTAACAACGGATCCTGGAACGACCATATTGAATACATAGTTTCTAAATCTTATAAAAGAATAAATATATTGAGAAAAATGAAAAATGTTCTTGATAGGTTTACACTTGAAAAAATTTACATATCATTTGTTCGCCCAATTCTTGAATATGCCGATGTCGTTTGGGACTCTCAAAATCAGAATTTGATTGCTAAACTTGAAAATATTCAGCTTGACGCAGCGCGTATCGTCACGGGGGGTACTAAACTTACCAGTATAAACAATTTATATGTTGAAACTCGATGGGAAAAATTATCTGAAAGACGACGCAATCATAGATTAATTCATTATCACAAAATTTTGAATAATAAAACCCCAGAGTATTTAAGAGACTTATTGCCCGATTCAGTAGGAAGTAGGCATGATCATAATACAAGACAAAGAAATAATATTACACAAGTCAATACTCGGACCCGTTTATATTCTGAATATTTCATCCCAGCAACAACAAAACTATGGAACACTCTTAACTTAAACATAAGAAAATGTGAATCTCTATCATTATTAAAAAAACAAATTAGTACCCAAAATTGTAAGGTCCCAGCGTATTATTATATAGGACATCGTTTTGGTCAAATTCTTCATGCTCGCTTAAGAATGGATTCAAGTTCATTGAATTCTCACCTATTCGTTCGTAATTTGGTAGACTCTCCAAATTGTCGTTGTGGTGATGTAGAAACAAATTCTCACTTCCTGTTATCTTGTCCCATATACACTGATTTAAGACATGAACTATTAGATTCTGTTTCAGTTCTTCCTGTCCAAGTTAACACAAAAACTTTGCTTTTTGGATCAACGGTACTCTCGGATGAGCAAAATAGTCTTTTATTTAGTTTGGTGCAGAAATATATTATTAAAAGTAAACGTTTTAACCCTTGATGTTAATGCTTCATCATTCAATAGAAACCCAAGCATTTCACACTGTATAGATTACAATAATTCATGTTTATTTATTTTTTTTTTTTTTTTTTTTTTTTTTTTTTTTTCTTCTTCTTCTTCTTTCACCTTTTTTCATATTGATATATTTATTACAGAGCATGCCAGTATTTATATTTATGTATTGTCCAATAAGTGTATTATTTTTTGTAAAAGGAGACAGATTTGTAAAAGCAAATTGCTTGTTTCTGAATCCTTAATATTATTTCATTTGTATAATATCGTTTAATGTTGATTTATCTGAATAAATATTGTTTAAACCAAATAAACATTCCCCGATTGGTTGAACTACTGTGGCCTCGATGTAAAAGAACGCAAAAATTTACTTTAATATGTTGAACTTCGACCCCTGGATTCAACCGATTCACAAACAGAGATTTTCTTGCGCTCAAATGTAATTCTAAGTGAAGTATACTGGTAAAGTAATATTCTATTCTTTTACAGAAATATATACACATTTTATCATTAATGTATTCTCATGCTTTTGCATATTTACTTTTATTTACGAGAAATAGAGTTAAATTTAATTCTATAAAAATGTTGTTACGTCAAGCAATAGGAGTAAGAATCTTTCGCGCCAAAACAAGAAAATAACCTGCATCATTAAATTATTTTATCATCATCTTTTTGACATTTCCAATAGAAAATAGCGTTTGGTATAAGCAATAATGGTAAGTATTACTTATTATTGTTAAGGTTTTCTTGACCTGGTTCGCTAGACCTTCTTGACGGTCAATTTAATCCCATTTATCAATTATCCCCGATGACAGAAATGTCAACCCAGTCGATTTGAGCTAAGACTACTGTGTTATAGTAGTCTCAGATTTGAGTCATTGGTGAAAATCTGATCTATTTGATGACATAATTTCTTCATTAACTGTACATGCAATATGTTTGTATTTTTTGTTAACCGTGCACATACATACCCTTTGCATGTCTGCAAGATAAATGGGTTATGTATGTGTAATTTGTGTAATAACAATAATGGCGGACGATTAAAGTTGGTGAAGTCATTGCGTGATCACGTGACATTATTTGTAAACAAACGGGCTCCCGATGTAACACGTGTCGGAATTATCCATACAAGGTGCAATCAATCTTGTATTTCACTATTTGATGCTATTTCTGTGTCTGTTAGTAGGTGTTGTAGATCAGACGTCATAGTTTCATAGTACCATAATAGTGTTGGTGTTCCTGTTCAGTAGTTAGTTGTTAATTTTTTAATAGAAGGCAAGTCTACATTATTAAACTATTAAAGTCTGTGAAAAAATAGGGGAAAATAAACTAAAAAGGCAGGACAAAATTTATCATTCTAAGCCCCCCTTCCCCCCCCTTTTCAGCTATTTCACACTCTAATGCGCACATTAAAGGATTTTCATCATGCTCAACAAGATCCAAACTGACAGCAGAAAACATTAAAACAAAAAACTCGAAGACAATTCACAGCATCAACAAACATGATTACTTTCTATAAGTCAAGTTTATTGAAAGCAGCCAAGTCAGCTTGTCAATATAGAAAAAAACTGTTTGCTATCTTCCCCAATATATTTGTACATGCACTTCTCTAGCATGTTTCAGTAAATGTGTAAATTATGACTGACTGACAAAACTTTGACAATGACCACTTATTTTTATGTTCAATGTACATGTACATTATGTAATATACAGGATAATGCATAGACTCGATACTGCTGCAAGTTTATACAGGATTGTCGATGAAAAAAATAATTTGTTTGCCAACTTACAGTGTTTCCTTTAGGAGGTTTTGGTGTGGTATGCAGGGCTCACACTACTTCAAAATCATAGGGAGAAGTGACTTCTCTTTTTGAAACTGGTAGGGAGAAGTGGTGAGATTTGAAAGAGAAGTGCTCGTTCGCTCGCGGCGCTACAATGTTTGGTTTTTGGAAAATGACGCTGTCAAAGCGTCAATTTTACTATACCATTGACCAGATTTCATTTTATCGCTTCCGGTCGCTTCCAAGCCGCCTTCCGAACTCGGTTCCGTATTTTACATAACTATGTCCTGTACAGAATTTCATTCTTATCCTGTCCATATGTTTATTGTTATTAAATGGTATTTTGAGCTATCCCTTTGGTATATTTTTCATATTTATATGAGCTTTCGCTTTTTTGTGCATGACTTTCCATCCGTAAAAAAATCAGAACATAAATAGATCCGTATTGTTATGGTTTTGAACTTTTTACATACCAATGATAACAAATCGCTATCGCTAGAAAATAGTTCTTGAAAGAATGTTTACCTTTCTTGTCAGCTGAACTTTGAAATCATTCAAAAAATATTAAATGGAATCATCTTGAAATCATACGAAAGATAATGGTCTTTATCAAGATTTAAGAAGTTTTTAAGAATCGAAAATTAGTAATACGGTTATATCCACGCGGTGCGTATGTATTTGTAAGTTACTGTTGCAGACATAATATAGGTCAAATATCGCAGGGGCCAGTTCTATTAAAGAATACAATGGCGATAATTGCAGAAGTTTATCTGTCAAAAAGACTTTATTTCTTTCTGGATTTCTTCACTTTAAAAAGAATTATAAGATGCAGAAGTTAATGAAAGGAGTAGGCAGTGCTCAATGAATCATACCAAAAGCATTTAAGGAAAGTTTTACCCTTTCTCTGACAACGTGGTCTCGTCCATTTTTGAAACATTACGATTATTTCATTACGTTTTCGAGTTAACAACTAAACTATTGAACCTGTGTTGTTTTGAGAAGAGCATTCCCGTTGTCCAGGTGTTCATTACAAGCCCGTATTTTACGATTACTTTTTTTCAAAATCGGATACGAAAATTTCTTGAAAATAAATAAAAAGTAATGAGATTTGCCATCCACTTTTCAATAACTATTAATTTAAAATCAATGTTAACTGTGGATGACTTGGATAAGGAATGGCATTTAATGATTCCTTAAGATACAGCAAAATGTGTAAACAGGAAGTTGAGTAGGGAGACAATTTCAAAAGTGCTAAAACAAGTATTGTCAAATCTTGTTTTATATATATATATATACATTATGTGATAGTTACTGATTTAGACGTTCTAATTGGTACAAAACGTCATGTTGAGGACGCAGAGATTACACAATATACTTTTAGAGGACTACTTCTACTACTACAGCTACAAATTCTTATTCATTTCGTTTTGTACATAAATTTAAAAACACAGTTTGACAAGCAATTAGTTCTGACTCGGCATGTAAATTTATATGTATACATTTCGTCATCTCAAATAAAATACTAATGTATATTATCTATAGGAACTACTTATTAAATAAAAAGAGGAAATATCGATAAACCTGTTACTTATTAAGGATATATAATTGGGAGGTCCAAGTGACTTACTAAATGTGATTGATTTGGAAATTACATCAGGTCAACTGACGTAGAATTGAAGATAACCAGCGAATGTTCCGGAACTTGAAAATTAGTATATGAGAATCGTCGATAGAGCGGAAATAGTGGAGACAAAAGAAAGGACATTCAGTACAAAACATTGTCAACTGTTTTTTATTTGATAATTAATCATGTCGTTTTGTTGATTTAATCCATCAATTTTTACCACTTTTAAGCGGAGTTACGCAAGAGTACAAGAAACACTCTTATGATAAAACGATGTCATATGCTGATTTTTTGTTATATAAAAAAAAATCAGCGGTATTCATTGTCCTTGGATTTAATGTTTGTTATTTTGTAGCTTTTTCTAGTTGCTCAGCATATTCATTCAGGTTTTCTGGTGTTGAAATAGGAGACATCGGAAACGATGCTATATTTTTAGCTCCACCTTCATGCAAAGCGCTGTATACGGCACTGCAGCAATTCTTAAAAACCAAATGATACTTGTTGGTTGTTTTGAACTCATTCCACCAAGTTCCAATAGCTGCCACATCAAGTTTTTCGGAAGGAATTTCGTGTATAAAATCAGCTGGTTTTCCTTCCCATTCAACATCCTGTTCATACGAACTTGCTGGTTCTGCTTCCACTGATTTCTATAAAATAAACGAAGAATGAACTACAAAATGTCTTTGCTAGTTTTCAACTTTTTTCATTAATAACATTAATTGTACCTGTTCTTTTAAATGGATAAATTAAAAGCTTTCATATTCATATTAGTTTAATAAATTGCCGTAACGTTGTTTGTCTGAAAAGTTGTTGTTTTAATGTCTGCAATAATGACTCAATTTAATTGGGATTCGTGAAGCAAAATAGTACAATTTACGCACTTGTTTTGCGGACAACAGTTCTTCATTTTCCCTTAGGTCATAGCAGATTATGTCTGTCCTTTATCACCTTTTATGTATTGATTACGCCTTTGCATTTTCTTGTTTGTTCCAATACACAAAAAAAACTATTTGCTAAAACTAATGTGAAAAGGGATTAAATATATCAATTTCAAAAGTGGTAGAAGTTATTGGCCAAAACAATTTTATATTAATTAATTGTTTGTAGTTTTTCTTACGCACACAGTGGTAAATATTCCATGAATATCTAGCATATTCAGGACAAGAACCAAATCAAATATGAATACAATAGATAGGTTCTTAAACGTGTGTGTACCGTGATGAAGCGCTGGAATATTTGACTGGCATTGGAAAGTGAGAATTCTATGGATAAGCTCAAAAACTTTGCAGTCTTTTAAGATTTATGAACATGTGATGTACGAAAAATGTTTTTAAAAAATCGATTTCGCAACTGAACGTTGTCACGAAGCTTCTATTACTTTGTTGTTATGAACCTTTCTTCCACTTCATATCGAAATTTATTAAGCATTTAAAAAGGCGAATCTAACCTGCGAATAGTTTCATATCATTAAAACGGAAATAATTACAGAAATGACATATAATCTAAAATTAGACATTTTACTGGGTCTTCGTTATAAAAAGATTCTTGTATATTTTTCGTATAATGTTCGTTTTTTGTTTGTTTGTTTTTTTTTATGCTTTCGTAATATTTCTGTTTTTTTTCAGTCTCCCTTGATATCTCCTGCCTATGTTTTGAATCATACATGTGGTTAAATCTATACAATTAAATTTGGAGACCAACATTGTTTAGCCAGTTTGTCTCCGAACCGACGATCGTCTTAAGTATTATATCACAATAAATAGTTAGTGTATGTAATGTACTTTATAACTTCATATAGTAATTGCTTTAATTAGCGTAGCTTAATTAATTAAACCCCAAATACAGTTCCGTAGCTGGTTCCTTACCGTCTACGTTTTGTAAGCAAGCGGAAATGGTTTTGTTTTCAATTTGTCTTGAATTTATGACAACTCGGCCCACGGCAATTCGCCCAACTCAAACACTCAACTTGCATCACTTTATTAAACTCGCATCATTAAAAAAAATATATAATAAACTCGAAGAAATGTGTTTTATCATTAGATTTTTTCTTCTTCTCTAAGTAAACTCCTCCTTTATCGGAGCACACGTGTCACACAGAAACAGAACTCACACCACTCGAAAAAAATAAAATACAGTACTACAAACTCGCACCACTGAGGAAATGTTTTAAATTATCAGAGAGTTCTAAATTGTCTTTTATTAGTTATTTCCTCCGTTCTTGGAGCACCCGTATCACAGAGAGACAGAACTTAACTCGCACCTTTCGAAAAAAAAGAAATACTACAAATTAGCACTACTGAGAAATGTTTTAATCATCAGTGTTCTAGGTTGTCTTCTTATTTTCTGAATTATTTCCTCCGTTCTAGGAGCACCTATGTAACACTGTAATGTTTTAAAATTTAAAGATATTATGAACCAAAAACAGAAATCAAAACTTCGAAAATTGTGCCAATTTATTAGAATTATAAATGACAAACTGGAATATCTCTGAAGTTAACCTGTCGACTGTGCTGATCCTGATACTGTTGTAATATAACTCATAATTATGCTTCCTCAACAAATGTACAACGCAATGTAATGTAAAATAATATCCTTTTCTTTATACCTTTGTTCAACTTAGGTGATACCAGAATAAAATGATATATATTAAACACCGAGACAGAAGCTAATTGGACATTCAAACTCCTATGGAAGAAGAACTGACAAACTAATCAAAACTATCAACACAATGCACCAGTGCATAAAAACAGTTTGAGAAACACGAACCCAAGCTGTGTATTACCATAAACATTTCAAGTAGTGTTCAACCCGCGCAAGTTATATATATAATTGAATGTAGCATTAACCTATAACAAAATTCCAACCTTAATTTCTTATCAGCGATAATTACATTAACGGTACCAAATTTAATGAACCAGATGCATATTTTGTCAAACATTGTCACTTCATTGATTCCACAGGCCGAACTATCTGAAAATTAAAAACCTAATACGAGCATAAGAGAGCCGATAAACCAAATATAAGACACTGCTTCGAATTGAAAGATTGTAATTCTAAAATTAAACTCACCAAACTTTGGTTGGCAGATTTCGCCTTGTCTTCCTTTGGCCACCAGCTGATATGGGTTCCATCCTCTAGGGTCATCGATCCATGACCTACATTTCCTCCCCCTTCTTTCCATATGTTTATCTTTACGCTCATTGTTAATTAGCTGAAAAAATGACATAGATAACATGACTTGTTCATACCTCTTGATTCTTATACAAAAGTCGTCTGTGGTATTTTTTGCTCTTGAACAGACAAATGAACTAATCATCAGCAAAACCGGTTGTGTTTCATTCGGCGTTACTACAATCCGGTCCTCCTTCCTTTGTTCACGGCATCACCAAATGCGAATTATTAGTGGATTAAATTTGTCATGAATAGCATGCACGCGAGTAACACAAGTGGAGAAGGAACTATGCAACCATCTAAAGAATTTCAATATTTTAAATCAAATCGGTAGTACTAAAACGATTTTCAAATCTCGTACATCGATTACAAAAGTAAAACAATTAAAACTGGGTAAACCGCAAGAAAAGTAGCGAGAACGGTTGAGTAGACGGGCCTAGTGTTATCATTGGTATTTGTGACGGGGCCCTTTTAATTAATTTTCGCTATCTTTGCCTTTTTCTAGAATTAAACCTGAGTCACGATCGTGATGTTTAAAAACCAAAATCTGTCTCTAAATTCTAGAAAACGTTTAATTATATTTATACTGCATCGAAATTGGAAATTGGAACCCAATCTAGTTTCATATGTAAAAATCAATACAAACGTGAAGCACGCTGATGCAAATGCCTATTTGACCCCATAAATTTCGAAATAAATGGGAAAAAAATATAAACAAATAATTGAGCTGGTGTACCCACATGCAGTGTTTCTTTGTTTTTGCCGTATTTCGATTTGATATATAAATGCATTCAGCTCCAATGATTCAAAATAATAGCGCACCTTGTATGAATTGAGTACTGTCTTTTCTCATAGAAACAAAAAGAAACAAAAAGTAATCCATCGGATAATACAAATGCAAGTTATCAAGTTTGAAGTATAAATGAGGATTTCTATGTTATAAAACAACATAGTTTCTGTAAAAATATAAGAAAAATATTTAATGGTATTCTTGTATTTCAATTAATAAAAGATAAAAATTTGAAGTTATTAGAATACTTACGTTAAATGGCACTGTAGTGTTGAAGTAATAAAAGTAACCTCGTTTATGACAATTAATTTTGTACAAGGAATATATATACTATAAGTTCACCAATAAGATGGAAAAGATTAAAAAAACGGATGTCCGAATCAAAACTCGGGAAAAGAAACAATGAAAATCTTATCAGGTGAATTCAATTGTTTCTTAGATAAACTGTAGAGGTTATTTCCGTAAGATATGGCTAGCATGTCAAAGGTTCATGTTTGCGATTTCCTTTGCAATCCACATGTGACAGCATCTGCTTTTTTCTCTTTAAAGCTGACACGGTAGTATTTCCTGGTCCAAAGGGATGGTGATTGACTTTTAAGAACTTTTAACCGGATTCTAACACTGCCCATACATACACAGTAAACTGCAGTACTTTCATTGTAACTTTCTGAAATCAATTTGAATTTGAAAAATATAAAGAATAGAGACAAATGGCATAAAAATTAAGAATACAGAAATAAAGCCCCCCCCCCCTTCTTTCTCCCATTTAGACCCTCATATAGAATCAACATTAAAAGCTACGACAACATAAAATATTTCGTCACACGTCACGTTCTAAGATTTTAATGATGATTCTTAGAATCGCATTAATTAAGATCGATCGAGTCCCGACATTTGAGAGGGGAATGCAATACTCAGTCCAATAAGATCGATTGTCAAAATATGTTTCCATCAGTAAAATGAAAGTTGATACCAAGTTAAAGATGACGGTATCACCATAATTATAAAAATTCACTCTATTCTTTGACAGTAAATCCGTTCAGTATGTTTGCTTATTCGATTTATGTTGCGGCTATATGGGGAATAGTGTTGGTGTATAGCAGTCGTGCAGGTAAATATTTTACAAATTGGGAATAGGATAGAGAGTTGTCTCATTGGTCCTCATACCACATCTTGTTATATCTATTTGCTATACGTAAAGTCTTGGTATGTGTTAATGGTTTATCTTTTGTTAGAATTATCTAGTCAGAATATGCAAAGTGTTCTTGCTATCGCCACTTGTCCTATGGTACAGACATTTCCGAAGAAAATAAATGTTAAGGATGTTCGCTCCTCTTGTTTTTGAATTTTTGCCAAATATTCGGAATCCTCTGGTTTTATCCATGTAGTGCCATTAAAAAATTTTGCCCACTAACCCCTACTTTTCTTTTCATAATTTGATTAAATATAGTTTAAAATGCCATCTTTGAAAATCTTATTAAATCCTTGTTATTTTTTCATACTTTTAGACAGAAAAAGGTGCCTATGTTAAATGTATGAAAAGTCTAGAGAGAATCATTTCCCGCCAAATTTTCAATGGCTTATATCTCGAAAACAAGCACACGGACCCTTCATTTTTATCTGCTTTTTTAGTTCTTTTATTTATATACTATCAATTTATAACAGTCTTTTGAAAAGCTGATTATTTTGAAACAGAGTAGCGAACATCCTTAAGATAAATAGCAGAAATACTAGTAAGTCTGTTTGAATTTTCTCCTCTCTGTTATGAATGAATGACAGGTTAGTCTTTGGGAACACATATTCACGACTATCATGTGGGTCTCATTGGGGTCTAAGCGTGACGCGGGATTGCCGATTTTTTGTAAGCGTGACACGTGAAAGTCAAATTATTGTGCCGTGAAAACGGGAAATGAAGTCTAGCGGGATACGGGAAATTACAAAAAAATGAGAATTGCTTACGTACATAGTGTAAGCGGGATACGGGAATCTGACAAATCAGTAAGCGGGATCCGGGATCAGAACCCCCCAATGAGACCCCCTATCATGCTGACATACTTTTTTAACCAACAGATGAATGCATTTATCCATACCGAAGAATTGGCAAGAACTGTTACCTAATAAATACACAAAAAGTGACAGCAGATACTGCCTTTGTATGTTAAGTATATAAAAATAAGATCATTAGTCAATAACTTTTGCCTACGTCGAAGTGTACAGGTTAGAAGGAGGGCTCAGCAAACTAGCCACATTCTGTATGCGCCTGTCCCAAGTTAGGAGTTGTCGTTGGTTTTGTCTGTCAAATTTGTTTTTCGCAAATTGTTTTGTTATAAAGTAGGCCGTTAATTTTGTCAATTGAATTGATTCATATTTTTTTCTTGTCGGGGCCTTTTATAGCCGACTATGAGCTATTGGTTTATCTCATTGTTAAAGACCGTACGGTTGCCTATGATTGCTTATAGCCACTTCATTTGAACTTTGGTGGATATTCGCTCGTTGATCTAAATATTTTTACATTATATCGAATTTGCTGCGTCACTATGAGCGAACGGTCATATCAAAATTACTGTTTAGTTTGGTGCCTTCTTCGATGTCTGTGTCAAAGCAAAACAATGGTCGATATTTGTTTTTAACAAATTCAATGATTGGGAAAAATTACTAATTATTTAAGCGGAAACTAGACTGAATTTTTTCCCGCAATGAAGTTAGTACAATTTATCTTCTGATAATGAAGTATTATTTTTTTTTTTTGTGTAAATGTTATTTACAGATTGAGCAGATATTTGATATATTTGTGCTTATAATTAAATATTTTTATTGATATGTGTATATTTATATCATTTTATTAACTTTTGACATTTCTTCTTATCTGCTTCAAAATAGATCTGAAAAGAAAGACTTTTCAAACTTATTTTTTTCAGACGTATTTGAAAGCAATAAAAAAAAGTCAAACATTCTTTAATTTAACGATTCGTGCATAACAATAAAACTTTATTAAGGAATAAACTAACAATACACTTGCAAATGATCTTAAAGTAATTAAGAATAACTATCATGCAATGTCAATGTATAACATACATAATATTTACTGAATTTTTAGGCGATATGCTTAAGACATGGTGCATACATGGCCAATTTTGAGACTTTAGAAGAATTGATGTTAATGAAATATGAATTGAAGAAGATGAATACTGGTATGTTTGAATCTGGTATCATTATAAATGCCACACCGCGTTCTCCTATGATGAATATATCATTGAAGATAGAAATGATAAAATCTTTCGCGTAAAAAGGTAGACAACATAATAAGTTTTAGAAAATCAATTTCACAGAACCGTAAAAAGAATCAACGTTGTGTAAAGATGTGTGAATTATACTTGTATGTTCCTCGTCGAAATAATAATAAAATCGAGTGTTTGCATTTCGAAAATCTTTAAGGAAGGCAATATTGAAACATTATTTCTAAATTCCGATTTTTTTTAATTTGTGAAAAACCAAGAACTAGGTATAATCGCCTGTTTTACAAGATGGTCCCGACATGTCAGATTTTTAACTGGTCCGATCGGATTTGGGTATCAAATTAACGGTCAGAATCAACTTGTGCCAATAACAGTTTTGAAAAGGTATCAATTGCGCCACTCAGAGGCGGATTTAGGGGCATGTGACCCGAAACACCCCCCCCCCCCCCTTTTTTGTGGGAAAAATTTGGTTGATTATATAGGGAATCACTGAAGCATGACTGGAATGGGCCCCCACTAATGAAAATTTCTGGATCCGCCACTGCCTCTTTATATTTTTCTGATGGTATCAATTGTGCCAATAAATGGAATCATATTGCACAACATTTACCTACATTTTACTTATATTATACATGCAAATTGTGCTATAACTAACATATCGACTTGAGATTAAACTGAACACTAAGTCTTATCAAAATTGAGAAAACTCACCAATAAATAAATTGTTCAGTAATAGAATAGTTTTCTACATGTAAAGATGTCTGATATATCGTTAAAAAATAGAGTTTGATAGAGGGAAACCGATCATCAATTCCGTCAGAAGTAGCATTGTCTCTAATGAGTTGTGGCGCAAATGGATTCCTTATAGGCGCAAATAGATATCGGCCAAAATAACGGCCTGTGTTGCAAAAAAAAACATTAATGGAATAGTAAGTTGTTGGTGCGTTGCGAGGTTACATTTTTTCTCATTATTTTTCATTCTTTATATATTTTTTATACAAGGTTCATATTTTTACATTGGTGGACGTAACGTTAACAGATATAAGTCTGGCGGAGATTGGAGATGGATTAAACATGGAAAGATGACCAAAATGACATACTTTGCTTTCGATTCTTCAGAACCAAATGGATCTTTTTCTTCACCCGAGGATTGTATATTTTTCCATGGTGCTCGTGGCTATTTATTCCATAATGCCTGCTGCGACTGTTACTCTACAGGTTTTATCTGCGAAAAATAATTTTACTTATACTTACTCCAATAAATGAATGGCACGTGTCTAATTGTACTAATATTGTTTTATCGTTGAAATCCAAAAGCTCATGACAACACGGGGGGGGGGGGGGGGGGTACTTCCATTTGAACCCCTTATTGATCGAATAAGCAAAATAAAGATGTAAGGAGGGATCATATGGAAGTTTTGACATTGGAGGGATAGATAGACCTCACATTATCCATATGAATATGAGGAATTTTGGGAGGAAATGGAAAAAAGCAATCCAACGACAAAAACCAACACACTTCTAGAGGTCAATATATGGTCTTCAACAATAGACAGATGTCTGTAAAATATGTGCAGTTCTAAATTGCCTCATCCAAACAAGTTGCTTTCTTTTAGAAAAAGAACTGATTTAATGATGGACATTTTATTTATCAAGTCAATCTCTTCTTCAAGTCTAACTTTCCATTCTATAAATATATTCAATATATCGAACTATGATATCTTATTTTCATAAAATTTACATCATTACACAGTTTAAACTTTTAATAAACTTTATTTAACGGCGCGAAGAAGAAATTCAAAAGTAAATATAAAGTAATACGGGTATAAAACTATTTGCCCATACAAATCTATAGTAAAATTAATCGCTGTCTGTGGACAATTACTAGCGCATGCGCATTAAAGACCGAACGAATTCTTGTACATGTTAAATAGCGGCTATACAAAATATAGCAGAGACTTATAAAATCATACTAAAACGGTATAAAAAAATTAACGTAGTAATTAAAATATTATTGTAAAATATTAATAACGTCATTGTGAGATGCAAGGATTTAAAATCCTTGTGAATTGAAACCATGCAAGTATGTTTTCATTCA